TGCTTGTAGTCGTTGATACCAACAACGACGGCCCAAAAATGTTTACCAAATGCGGATCGCTTCTGCTCATTCGGCATATAAGCACAAGGCCATCGAACAGTCACAGCAGAATCGCACCTCACTTATGGCTTGCTGATCTGAGTTCTCCTTATGAGGTCGCATGTCAAATGCAACTCCAAGTTGTTCGGCACTTGTGCAGAGGTCATCAAGGCGTCCAGCCTTATGATAGCGGAGACGCTCAAGCTGGTGAAGATATCCCAGAGCCTTTTGAGCAGGCGACCGTTCTCCCGGTTCGGTGAGAATCAGAACTGGGACGAATGGTGAGCATCTTCACAGGGTTACGGGATGAGAGCCACTCGCTTGGTGGGGCAATCTGTTCAAATTTCTCAACTCTTGCTGCATTGTTGGAAATCAGACCAGGACGCGTTGAGGGATAAAATAACGCACTTGCAAGTGTGCCCACGTCGCTAGCGGCAATCTGTTCTTGAATCGCCTTTCGTAGCTCATCCTCGTCAACCTCATCCTCGATGCCTCCACCATGACTGTCCACATAGTCTTTCCACAGGGCTCGCTCCAGTTCCTCCAAAGGTATCATATTGCTCTCAAAAGCCTCGATGTCGCCCCAGATAGATCTCAAATTCTTCCAGTTCTCGGGTGACATCAGTGGCTCGAGATTCCTCCAGCCATTCCAATAGTGCGGTATCTGTCCGAGGCACGTCAGCGAAAAAAGAAGAGCTTTCGGAGCCGTGGTGAAATAACGTGCCTGAGTCCCCAAAGCAGATCTCAGGTTTAAGTTATGGTCCTGCTCAGGTATGTTAGGACCATAGTCCGACACGTCATCATCGTCATCAACGAAAAATCTGGGGTCAAGATCAGTGAAGACATATTTAGAATCTGCCTTAAGGGGTACCGCCGAACGCACCGGCTGCGCGAATGGTCGTCCATTTCGCCGCTGGAAGCGAATGTAATTGTCTGGAGAGAGAAACCGGACGGTGCGTCAGAGTCGCACTGGCCCTTTATATCGGTAGCAGTGTGCTGGCAGAGAAGCTGTTTCCCGACGGTGTTTTGTCGGTGCAACCGGACCGAGGCCTGCATATCAGATGAAAAGAAGCTTCTCTGTCTATCCGAAACTGTGTCTCCGTATCGTTAACTTCATTGTCTATTTGCCCGAAACTGTATCTCTGTATGGTCATTTTGCGTATAAAGCACGGCAGACAAGAGCTTTTAGCGCCATCCTCCCCTCGCATCCAGAAAGCAATCGTTATTTTCAGCTCCGCTTAGGGATTAGCCTGGCGGCTATCCAAACTCCGCAGATCCAAGCCTGGGGCCAGTTTGTCCAAAAGCGGGCTCTAAAGGGCTTCGAACAGACGGCCGCACGCTATTCTATAAAGAGAGTGACTGTTGATTGAGATTCAGCTCAGTAATTGGTCGGACCTCCGTCTGATCCCCCGGCGACTCATCAGGAAAACCCCCCTTCGGTAATTTCCCACAAGTACCAGCAAATACCGGAAACTTGGCGGTAAGTTAGGTAAATTACGAACTTTACCTCATTATCGGTTTTACACAAGGTCCCTGTTTTCTCACCGTCAATTACTGGTAATTTGCCAGGATTACCACCAAATTACCAGTATGTTAACACTGGTTTCCAGCTATTGTCATATAAAATGCCAGCATTACACTGCACTCAGGGCTCGCAAATAGCAAAGGAAGTCGAGAAAGGTCATATTATTGGGTCTACTATCTCAGACAAAGTACAAACATCTAAACTACTCAAAACTCTGGGGCTACAAGTTAGGGCTAACCCACCCAACTACAATGCAGTTCCCGACCATGCGCCGCATCCTTGCGTTCTTTCTGAGAGGATTATTAGCATTGGCAGTGTGTACTCTGTAATGACAGGCACACCGAATGAAGACGAACCAAATGAGGTGACGCCCTGCAGGGACATTCACAATGGAATTGAGGACAGAAGCCATTCTGTATGTCATTGAGTAATGATGGACACACAAAATGAAGGGGGACCAAATCAAGCGACGCCACACAGGGACATCACGACGGAAGGAATGGAATTCAAGTCAGAGAACTCACAATACAAGTCCTCGAGATTAATGTCGTTGGTATGGTCAACGCCCCCACTATGTTCAGCGCAGGTATGAAGCTGTTTGTTTTGGTGGTGGAAGCAAAGCGCACAACGAAGCGAAAAGGAGAGGTCAGCCGGTGAGGTGAGGCGCAAGAAGGGGGAGTGCGCACCTGGAGGATGGGTACACCACACAGCAGAACTTGCTGTAGTGGAAGAATGCCTCGGCATGTAGCAGAGGGATTGAGACCTGAGGGAAGCACGGGATGAAAGGAAGGATCAGCATCGATACACAGGTGAATACTGAACTTACCGCTGTCTCAGGCAACAACGCTTGTCTGCCCTCCTACAAGTGGTGAGATGCAGATAACCAAATGCGACAGGAAACGTACTCTACATTAAAGGAAGACCACTGTGTGGATGCTGGAAGAGTAAGGGCGAGAGGGGGAATGCAATGTGAAGGGAAGACGGAGGGAGAAGAAGAGAAGTATTTGTTGCTGCGCCGCAATCAAAACGTACCATTTTTCACGCACACGTGCGACATCGATAAGTCGACAATTTGTTTGACGTGGGAGCGTCATGGAAACTGTCATGGACTTGGCAAAAACAAATGCCTTTCTTGCAAAGGCCACCTTGGCGTGTTCCATCGCATTTGGATTGGGAGACTTTTGGTAATCATCCACAAGACAACCACCAAGTAAACAGGAGTCTTTTGTGCCTCAATTGCAAGATTTTGTAATGATCAGCCAAGATTGGGTTAGGTCAGGCTTGAGGAACCAGTAAGCGAAAGGAAATATTGGAGATTATATAGCACAACAAATGAAAAATGGTGACTCACCGGTCATTTGCTGGGAATTCCGGTAATCGAGCAGCATTACCGTTAAATGGTATCAGAGGTTTGGTAATTATTGATTAAGCGCTGGTAATTGAGTGGCAGTACCGTTAATCACATCAGAGGTTTGGTAATCAGGGGAACTTACCGAAGGAGGTCTTCCCTGATGGCGATGTCATCGGTAATCCCGATTCCCGAAGATTGGAGGCTCGCATGTCACCACTGGGCCATAGGGGCAACTACTGTACAATTTCAATCAATTCGGGTGTCACGCATCACGCACCCCCTGTGCCGCGGCGAATTTGCGTCTCGGTCACGGGTCACGGCGCCTAGTGCCGAATGTAAAATTCATGTCACCCTGGCCAAATCTCTCTTGGAGCTCCAAAAAGGCGGCGGAATTTTGTAAGTGTCACCCCAAAGTTTATTGCGTGCCGAAGTGCCGAATCAGTATTTTTGACCACGGGTCACGACCCGTGCCGAATTGAATGAAATTCTACAGTAGACTCGCATCCAGCGTCTATTTTGCGTATCCGCTGCCCAGGTGTGCTAAGAGCACAAAGGGTCCTGAAGGTGAAATCTTGACTCCTTCAGACTCCGTCTCCTGGACATCAATGTTGCTAGTGGGGTGCCCGTGGGCAGCAGATGCAGCTGAGAGTGGTGTACCGACAGAAGGGGTTGGGCTAGGCTTGTTCTTGAGAATACATCCAAAAATACTAAGGCTCATGGTGGTGTGGGAGAAAAAGAAGAATGTAAATATCCGCACATAGAATCGGGTAGAAATGGGATCGCTACGCGCCGCACTGTCGGGACCGATACCGGTGTGGATGGGGGAAAATAAAGAAACAAAGAAACGAAAATACTGCGCGAGAATCAATAGATTTTTGTCAACTCTTTGACGTGGGTTGGGGCTCGGTTACGGTGTTTCTCCCTCTTTATAAAATCGCGAGTGTCTGAAGCTTCTAAACTCCGCTTTGGGACAATTCGTTCCCACACCTTTGGAAAATCACACAACCCCAGCTTATTTTTCCAGCAACTGCAGTGCAGTACAAAGCCACCTTGGAGTTGGAGTACTGCTGAAATATAGTCCTCTTCCATATCAAAATTCACGTAGTTGAGCTTTATACCTTTGGTCATTATTTCAAATGCCGTCGATCGTCCGGCACAACTTCCCGCACCGGACGATTCCCACCATCACTTCTATGTCAATTTAACATAGGTCATGGGTCATGCCACGGTCCTGCATTATTACCCGCTTTATAAAATTAGCGTGCTCTGTAAGTCCGCTCCCTGCACTTTCAATTTCAATCTCCGCTCGTTTGTCACTCTCTTGACAAATGCCATCTCTTTCGCAATGATCTTGAGTTTCCTTCAGCTACTCAACTGAAATACTGCTTTGATGTTTAAATTCCTCTGCCCTCCAAGAGGTTTGCTGTGCAAGCAATCATCGCAGCCGTTTGACTGCTGGCTGTGAATTATCAGCAGCAGTCAAACGGCTGTGAATTCTCGGCAACGCACAAAATCCACGAATGACGTACCCTGTCAGCTGAGTAGCCTATCTGCGCTCATCTGCCGAAATTATGGCATGTCCTCCATCCTGTTTCCCCGCATTTCTGGTGGTCTACTCTCACTCGGGGAAATCCGTGGAATCAGGGCGCCCGGAAACGTTTCCGAAACTAAAAGTTTCTGGAACGGGTCCGGGAATGTCGAAACGGAATCTGAAACTAAAAGTTGCGGAAATTGTTTCCTGTGGCCCGAAACTATTAGTTTCCGAATTAGTTTCTGTACAGCTGGAACTAATAATTCCGGGAACAGTTCCGGTGTGCCGAAAATTGTTCACGAAACTATTGGTTTCGGAAACAATTTCCGCTGCGCCGAAACGTTTAGTTCCGGGACTGCCGAAACCGTTCCTGATTCTTTGGGTTTCGGGTACAGTTTCGGCAGCACCGGAACCCAGAAGTGTCGGGAACAGTTTCGGTGGAGCCGGAACTGATCCTGAAATCTTATGTTTTGAGGGCGCCGAAGCTTAACTGCCGCTGGGCTGCCGTTGAGCGGCCGCCCATTCAGGAACCTGTGATCGTATATATCTCCATGGCGTGCTTGGCGTAACGGTAACACGTGTTGTGCCACTTGTCAGTTACGTAATGATTTGTATCACACAAGGTGAGGGTTCGAATCCCTCAGCGCGCATACGAGGGAGAGGGAGGGAATTTTTTTCAATTCTCTAGCTATTCCAAGATTAACATTGGGTTTGTGCACCCACCAGATTTGAATCCGTGTCTGGTATGTGCAAGAGCCCAATTCGTGATGGCAAGCCGCTGCTAAAGAATATGTACTACTCTTCCTCGAGCTCGAATATATACCCACCTGTTTCTCACTTTTCACCTGCCCCCTCCCATTCCGCACCGCGCAGTTCCCCTTCCCACCCCATTCCCATCCCTATTCCGACCGTTATTACCCTCGTTCCCGCCCTTGTCGTGGTACGGGGCTGAAGGGAAACTTGAGAGAGAGCTGCTGGTGTACCCATCCGCGTACAAGCCCTAGCTCACTGCCTTGAGCTTGTCGCTTCCAATGCCGATGCTCACGAACAGGAGCGCGTCGGGGTACTGCTCATGGTACGGGTACGGGTGCCCTTACGGCGGCTTTGGGCCCAGCGCAGACGAGAGCTCGGACAGGGTGTTGTAGGCATGCACAATGGTGGTGCTCAGGCGCGAGCGGGGTGATCACGAGGCGCGGCTGTTGGGCGCGGGCGAAGCATGGTGGCTGATGCCAGGGCTGGCGGTGGGCGTCTCGGAGATGGAGACGGAGGCGCCGCAGCGACGGGCATCGTGGCAGGAGCACTTGCGGACGATGTCGCTCTACATCAAGATGGGGCACATGGAGCTTGTAATATAGCCCGCATCGGCATGTAGCGTCACTGCCAAGGGTGCCGAAATGAAAAGGACAGAACGCACGCGCTGCAGACCGTGTTGCTCTCATCGTCCTTGTGCCAGAGCGGCGTCGCCATCGAGCCACATGCATTTACAGCTCTTTGCGGTACAACAGTTGCGGACGGTTTTTTCTTCCTTTTTGGGCATTTTGTAGTCCTCGCGACCAGGACACTTGTTTCGGCCTCAATTCTCATCTGTTTGCCTTTCCCATTGGTACATTCGAAGCGAGTTTGAAATGCGCACACAAGGGTCTCCTCGGATTTTCCGTTTTTCATGTAAATGTCCTTCTTGGGCCCTGAAATCAGAGAATTTTCTAATAGAACAGCTGTTCTGCCCTCAGTTCTTCGCCTTTTTCCTTGGGTAAAGGCTCTTTCAAAGCGCATTTAAAATTCGCACACGATGGTGTCCTCGGATTTCCTGTCTTCGATGTAAATATGCTTCTTGGGCCCTGAAATCAGATTTTCGTCGATTTTTCTGAGGATTTTCTAATAGAACAGCTGTTCTGCTCTCGGTTCTTCGCCTTTTTCCTTGATTAAAAGCTCGTTCAAAGCGCATTTAAAATGCGCACACGATGGCTTCCTCGAATTTCCCGTCTTGCATTAAAGTGTGCTGATTGAGCCATGAAATCAGATTTTTGGTAACCTTTCTGAGAATTTCTCAGTTCTTTACCTTTTTCCTTGGTTGAGGGCTCGTTGAAAGCGCATTTAAAATGCTCCCACAATGGTCTCCTCGGATTTCCCATCCCTCAATAAAGGCCGCTTCTTGAGCCATGACTTAAGATTTTTGGTGACTTCTCGGGAAATTTCTCACCAAAACAGCTATTTTGCCCTCGGTTCTTCGCCTGTTTCCGTGGGTAAAGGCTCGTTCAAAGCGCATTTAAAATGCACACAAAATGGTCTCCTCGGATTTCCCGTCTTGCATTGAAATCTGCTTCTTGAACCATGAAATCAGATTTTTGATCATCAAAAAGAGAGATTTTATAAAGTGTGTGATTACAGCTCTTTGCGGTACAACAGGCGCAGTCCGTTTTTTTTTTTTCCCAGCAGTTTTGACTAGAACACCTGCCACGGGCTCAGTTTTGCTCGGATTCCCTTGAAAATAGGCGCGTTCGAATCACATTGAAAATCCACAGGGGATGAGATGCCGGCTTTTTTTTGATGTGATTATGTAATAGAATTTCTTCAGAAAAATCATGCTTTGCACTAGGACAGCTGTAGCACAGCGAATAATGGTCCGATTGACCTAATTCCGGAGTGCGAGCGACCGGACAAAGGGGGACGAAGGGGAACAGAGTCCGGAGGGACGGGAGACGACGTTCCAAGTGGAGGCGCGGCCTGGGGCTCGGGCGGGGGTTCCAGACGGACGGACGGACGGACGGACGGGGGAGGCCGGACAGGGAAGGGGCTCTGGACGAAAGATCGGATGAGGCAGTGCGGCAGTGCGATGGGCCGGAGCCAGACGGACGGACGGATGGGGGGTTCCCCTGACAGACCCTATAAAATATTAGAGAAGGTTGGGGCATCATTGTATAAGTTAGATGTTCCTGGAGCAGACTACAAGCACCCGGTATTTGGCGAGTCTATCTTGACTCCCTATATCGAACCACCGTCCCATCGCAGGGAGGAACGTCCAGATCCTAAGATTGTGGATGGTCACAAGGAATACGAAGCGGAGGAGATCCTAAAACACAGAAAACGCAGCCGAGGCTATCAATACCTCGTAAAATGCAAAAATTACCCTTTGGGAGAACGCACGTGGGAACCAGCGAGACATTTTACCAACGCGAAACGGTTGTTGAATGAATATAACAAGAAACACCATATTGCTATCCGGTCTCTTCCAGTTCTTGAGGCGGGACACTGGGATAAAATTATCCACCAATACAAAACAAAGGAGGAGTCCAAACCCTACTCGACGAAGAAACTATTCATCCCCAAATCGAACTCATTCATCATGATTGACGAGGACACCGATCCTAGAGGGGGTAATGTCATGATTCGACCCTCTGTTTTATCATCCATCTAGGCACCCAGAGATAAGATCATAATCTTAAGCGCTCACATGTCACATGGATTTGTCGAGAAGTCATGAGACAGGGATGAGTCATTGACTAGAATAGAACGACAGGAGGGGAACAGCATGTATGACATCATGCCTCATGGAACACTTGCGCATCAGGAAGGCGTGCTGTTGCAGAACACTTTCCATGCTGTTATGGACTAGTTCACATACACATTATGCATGCATTTCATTTCATGTTGTGGTAGGGGGGTACACCCGGCCTGTAGGTTCGCTAAATGGGTCGGTGATCCGGTAGCTGTGGAGCGAATGCGAAGGATAAAATGAAGGAATAGGTCCCGATCCGTAGGGTTTGAAAAGAGTGTAAAAAAAGAGTAAGGAGGTGGAAAAATGCCGTGAATAAAAAATGAGCTCGTGAGAAGTGGTATTGGGGGTTTGGCCGGCGAGATAGCCCACTGGCAACATTACGGGAGTAAGGGGCGAGGAGCTCTGACACTGCCTCTGGGCGTTCACCCTGCACTGGTCGCGTAGATCGTGTATGAGTATGAAATTTGTGGTGGGTCCGTGTTTACAGTACAAACAAATTATGTAACATAAATTACCAAAAGTAGAATAGAAAATAGAATGTGGAAGGCTTTCCACATCTCGGCCATTCGACCCTACCACAATGTATATACTTAGCCATAGTTCACATGGTTTGTTGTACAGTATAAAGTAGAGTAGCATTTGTCTGTAGTAGTTAGCCTTTTATCACATCATTTTACGAGCTAATACCGCACCACCCAGTCCTTCAGTACTGCACTCCTGGACGCGAGGCTTGTCTGTGACACTTGGATCTCTACGCATCAGACCATGTATCCATAGTTCACACGGTTTGTTGTACAGTATAAAGTAGAGTAGCTTTTGTCTGTAGTAGTTAGCCTTTTATCACATCATTTCATGAGCTAATACCACACCACCCAGTCCTTGAGTACTGCACTCCTGGACGCGAGGCTTGTCTGTGACACTTGGATCTCTACGCATCAGACCATGTATCCACTGCACAGCTGTCTCAAGAGGTTCAAGGTTGAACGACTTTTGTTTAATTTCAAATGCTCAAAGGACATCTACAACCCACATATCTTCAAAGTTGTGTAATGAATACCTAACACCTGATGGTATGTGAGCAACCAAGGTCAAAGATTTACAGCTAAACTCACTACTATTCTTCTCCTTTAATTTCTACTGGAACTGGCAACATTGCAGGCCTATGTCTCAGAATGGTGATGATGTCATTGAAACAATGTTTTGTTGCAATTTCCAGAGCAGTGCCATATTCCCCCCCAGCTGTGTTGATATTGGCATTCTTTTGAAGAAGGATATAGACAATCCCTGTGTGGCCCATGTAAGCAGCAGCCTGTAATGAGCTCCCATATTCTCCCCCTGTTGCATCAATGTTGGCATTATTTTCAAGAAGGAGATGGACAATCTCTGTGTGACCCATGTATGCAGCAGCCTGCAATGAACCCCCATATTCTCCCCCTGCTGCATCAACATTGGCACCATTTTCAAGGAGGATGCGAACAATCTCTGTGTGGCCTTTGGCAGTGGCAGCTTGCAAAGAGCTCCCATATTCTCCCCCTGCTGCATCAATGTTGGCACCATTTTCAAGGAGGATACGAACAATTTCTTTGTGACCCCAGAGGGCAGCAGCCTGCAACAAGCTCCCATATTTTCCTCCTGTAGTATTGACATCTGCTCCCTTTTCAAGAAGGATACAGACAATCTCTTTGTGGCCTCCAGCAGTAGCAGCATGCAAAGAGCTCTCATATCTTCCCCCAGCTGCATTGACATTGGCATTCTTCTGAAGAAGGATATGGACAATCCCTGTGTGGCCCATGTAGGCAGCAGCCTGTAATGAGCTCCCATATTCTCCCCCTGTTGCATCAATGTTGGCATTCTTTCCGAGAAGGAGATGGACAATTTCTGTGTGGCCCATGTATGCAGCAGCCTGCAATGAGCTCCCATATTCTCCCCCTACTGCATCAACATTGGCACCGTTTTCAAGAAGGATATGAACAATCTCTGTGTGACCCCAGAGGGTAGCAGCCTGCAACAAGCTGCCGTATCTTCCTCCTGCTGCATTGATATCAGCACCATTTTCAAGGAGTAAACACAAAATCTCTGTGTGGGCCTTGTAGGCAGCAGCCTGCAAAGAGCTCCCATATTCTCCCCCTGCTGCATTCACATCAGCACCATTTT